TACCACCCCGTGTATAGTACCCCATGGTATAACGTGGTTTTGTAAAATACCACTGGTACTTTAGTCCGTGAAATACGTACGTATTACATGATTGTTGATACTGCTCACATGATTTGATACTCAAAATTTTATTACTATTATGTCCTCTTGTACAATATTTTATCACTATCATTTTATGATAAAGAACAAGCTACCAGAATCTGTTTAAAAAGCAAAATAATCCAACGAATGACCCAAAAGCAATTACTAAAGTGGTGTGAACGCTTGGTGTAGAAGCGACGTTAGTAATTTTTTATAAAAAAATTGAAATCATCTGGTTGATCTCTCCTTTTATAGTACGCAAATATATGTTGGGTGGGCCAGCTTTATGTTCACGTTATGCAAATAGCTAATAGTCCCACTAAGGGACCGGGGCTCCTTTATGCAAATGGACAGGTTATGCAAATATACGTTATGCAAATAGACAGGTGTGACTGTATTTGGTTTTGAGAACAGTTTTGTGACTGCAGAGCGGTTATTGAGCGAGGCTTGACACCAAAAAACATTATTATTATTTGGTGTCTATACTAGTCGTCGCTCCGATGTTTGCAATAACGTCAACTTTTTTTTTATTAAATAGCATTCGGTTAGGCGTCTGTTTTAAACGGCGAAGATAATATTTTGAATATATGAACTATTTCAGTAAAAAGTTGTTATGTCATATTTACGGATAAATATGAAGGTAACGGTTTGAAGGAAAATTTCAAAGCAAGAGAATTGTCTTGTATGTAGCTTTTCAAACGGATTAAGTTAAAATTCTCCCAACGATCAAGTGTCGACGTAACGGTTGAAATTGGGTCCGGTTCATTTCACCGAACAAAAACTATAACTTTGAAATAATGTTGTCGGTGAAATAAGTGCCGGCGAAATGAATGTCTCCGTACGTTACGCAAATATGTCATATTTTGAAAAAAAGGAAAAGTGCCTTTCCAGTGGACGACATTTCGTAACGATACACGCACAATAAAACGGCGGATAAATGCGCGATTATTACCTTGATATAGCGAATATCATATGATAGACAGTTTGATCAGCGCTTGAATATCTAATTCGTCAAAACGCCTTTGAAAGATATAAATGGATATATAATAAGCTAATACATTCGACAAGGTATTTGGAATTAGTGTGCCACAAATGAAGGATATACGTAATCTTGAAAACTCATAACGTTGAATAAACGGGAAGAAATTTATCCACGCCATTCTTGATAACTCTTTATGTGTTTCAAAATAACTAAATGCATTACTGGTCATTTTTGTGATCTACATCGTTTGTCCGGCATTAATATTAACCTTTCGTCATGCGATTTTAATCTCGTTAGGCATACACTTTTCTGTCAAAGAACTAGTATCGTTTTAGGTGTACAAACTTAAATGATCTATACAGTAACTATGGATCTTCCGACCAGTGATTTATTAATATTAATGAAAGTTTTAGTAATCGTAACGCAAGTAATAATTCCCAACCAATGAAATTAATTCCGATTTCTTGGCTTGCGGAAGTTATGAGACCACAAAATTACGGTTGGTTTTGCTGCATTAATATTAATATGTCGAAGTGCCCATATTTGGACAATTGGGTAAATGGATTTATCCACATACATCGCATGATAAATATACAAATATAGCCAAAATTGTAATATATAAAGGCACAAAATGTTCCAACCTGCACACATAACATCATGGCTGGTAAAAACTTTACTTTCGACAACATTCCTGATCTTAGTGGTAAAGTAAGTAATATATCTTAAAAGAAAACTGCAACTATTGTTACTCCAAAGTACAAGTTCGATCCAATGATTGTCTTTCAATATCACATGTAGGTCGCCTTAGTAACAGGCGCAAATGTAGGGATAGGATATATAACCGCTCGAGAATTAGCACGCAAAAAAGCACACGTTTTCGTATGTGCACGTAATATTGAAAAAGGTCAGTCTGCCGTGGCAACTATAAAGGCGGAAACAGGAAATGAACTGGTCGAGTTTTTGCAGTTGGATCTATTAAGTTTGAAAAATATTAAAGAGGCCGCCGACAAGTTCATGGCCAGAGGACTTGGATTACACATATTGTAAGTTAGGGAAGAGACACTTTATTAAGACATAGTAAAGAGGTGTTGATTGATAATGATATTTACTGTTTGACTTTTTTTTTGTGTAGAATCAATAATGCTGGAATAATGGCAACGTACGTAGATGCTTTGACTCAATTATTTACGTTTAAATTGATTATTCAATTCTCAAACAAAATGCCCATTGTGTTATAATAGCCCATTTAATCTGTCAGCGGACGGTATTGAAGCCCAATTCGCCACTAACCACATAGGTCACTTTGTAAGTACAATAATTATACTTTGACCTTGATTTATTCAATTCCCCTGATTCAATCTTGTTAACGTATTTTTTTAGTACTTAACCCAGCTCCTCTTACCCGCCCTCGAAAAGTCTGCACCTTCACGTATCGTTGTTGTCAGCAGGTATAACGTGGAAGAGTGAGAGCTTTACTTTGCATTTATAGCACGCTAACCTAACATTAACTCTGCATCATAGTTTGGCCCATCGGGTGTTTGCTCCTAGAAAGGGAATCGATTTCGAGAATATTAACGCAAAAAATCTTAGTATTTGGACTCGATATGGACAGTCGAAACTGGCAAATGTATTATTCGCAAACGAACTTGATCGAAGAGTGAAAGACAAGAAGATTTACGTAAATTCTCTTCATCCTGGTATGTGTACGGAATACTTCAGAATTACGTCTTTACCATCATAAAACGATAATTCTCACAACGTCATGTTATTAACAATGTATGTAAAAAAAGGTGTAGTAAAATCCAACCTTATGCAAGGTTTAAAGCTCTCCTGGGGCAGTTGGGTGGCAGCTTACACTGCTATTCAAAATCTCTTTTCTCTAAGTACTGAAGATGGAGCTTTGACACAGCTCTACGTTGCCACAAGTCCCGACATTGAAATTAACAATTTCCGCGGACGACACTTTATGCCGATTGCCAAATTGGGAGCAATGAGTGCCAAGGCAATGGACGAGAACTTGGCTAAAGAGTTGTGGGATTATTCAGAAAAAATTATTAAAGAGAGAGTTGGGAGCGATTAAAGTAATTTTCGTAGATAGAATCTGTAATAGATTGATTATTACATAAAATAGTATTCAAAAACTGTTATTTAATAGAGTTAGTATAATAAAACAACAAAAAATGAAAAATGTTTTCTAAACTTAAAATTTCATTATTTGTCGATCAAAAGTTTAAAAAGGGTATAGCAAACAAACATTGGTCATATGTGTTTGGCGTACGACAAGCTTTTAGCAACCAGTCATGCAGTCGCGGCGTGAATCCAAATGATGAGAGTATATTCGTTTGTGTATTTGTTTGAAAGCGGAATTGTGGTAATGTATGTAATACGAGTATGGTTTTATTAAATGTGTAAACAAATAATAAAACGTGCAGCATTGCACAAGGCATTATTTACATGTCGAGCCTCTACCAAGGTCTCGCTTTATTTCCAAACCACAATTGTACCATATGCTGCAAAACTATTATTAATTGCAAGATGATAAAGAGGGAAAACAGAGTCTAATAGGATAGTAACAGTTGCTCCTCCACCCCTCCCTTATCCCTTTCATTCCAACATTAACCGCATCCTCCAACAACTTATATTAATATAATTTGACCGCTCTACTCACCCATCACTTCACACTCCCCTCTGATAGTAATAGATCTAATTTTCCACCCCTCCCCCAATTTTCAACATATTGGTCATCTCTTGCATAGCCCATCTATACAATATTAATATGAATTGCATATATATATTAATATACCAAAAGAGCATTTCTTATGAACCATCACCCAACTATTACAGCTACATCTCTCCTCTATTCTCTCCACATAGAACTACTGATCTTTACCTATACCTTCACAAATCTCCCTGGCCCCCTCCCCCCAAAATAATTTCCATCTTTTCCATGTAAAATCCAATCACTAATCACATCTTCTTTATTTCACTTCTCATATTAATGTAGTCATAAAACTAGCTCTAGCGTACAAACGTTAGCTTGGAAATAAAAATCGATAACTCTATCGTAGATCGCAAAGGTAGAACGCGAGATAATACGTAATAGTAATGCGCAGATCGTATTTGCTTTATCACGTGATTTGAGTTTAACATTTATAGTCTGTCAATCAGTATGTGCTGATTGTTGAACAGAAGAAAAGAATACAAGGCATATAATTATAACACTTTATATCTACTATCTAATAATGGTTGACAGCAGGACGAGAAACGTAAATACTTTAATACTTGACGGTATGATTTAGTAGTGTATTGTATTGTGTGCGTTTGTGGAATTTAGCCGCCGTCCTATAAAATGGGCGTGCAACTCGCCGTCCTATACAATGGGCGTGCAACTCCTTTCAGTTTTTCTGAAGTGAATGATGTGTAATCCATATTATATTTTAACTATCATAGATCCACCATCTTACAAAAAACGGACGTGCTGTGGAAAGTCGGAGCTAATGGTTTCTGACACCGAATTAGCTACCTCTGACGGTACAGAGTGTATCCGCAATTTCTGAATGTAACCGTCTTTATGAACATTATTTAAAAAGACGGCGAAAATATACAAACCGGGACATACACGTATGTGTCATCGACAATATTGGCATGGCGGAAGCTACTTACGAGACGACAACGACTACAACAAGGCGCGGAAAACATTTCACGCAACGCTGCGTGCGACTTTCAAATGACGCTTCAAGACAGCTTAGTGAGGAACACCGTCAAGTTTGATCGGATATTAGCGAATTGACATTAACGTGCAACCTTACGAGCAAACAAACACTATGAACTCGATAATAATGTTCCAGCTGTTGATAACACGCCTACTGAGGCATCCACAACTACCATCACCACCACCGCCACTACTACTTGTATCAGGATCAATAAAAGGCATAAAAGATGGTGAATTGGAATCATGGTTGCGGAGAATTACCCACAATAACGTGCAACCTTACGAGCAAACAAACACTATGAACTCGATTAATAATGTTCCAGCTGTTGATAACACGCCTACTGAGGCATCCACAACCACCACCACCACCACCACTACTACTTGTATCAGGATCAATCGAAGGCATAAAAGATGGTGAATTGGAATCATGGTTGCGGAGAATTATCCATTACATGGTGTAGACAAGTTTTACGAGGAGAACTCTAAAATCTGGGTTGGACATTGAATGTTCAATATTCGGTCGTCTCAAGACAAGTTAAACATGATACTGCTTTACATCAGGTGCGACAGTTACAAGCACGTCCAAATTTATATATTATATTGGATGCCACATGGTGTAAGACGAATGCATGTGATGGGAGGAATACATAGTCGTAGTCTCTATTAGGCTATAAATGTGCCCCTCACTTATCTACTTAGACTGGTGAGAACATTCTATAGTTTCTGTAATGCTTAATAGCAAGGTTTATATTATATTCATCCGTGGCTATTGAATAGCAAATGATTATATTAATATGAGAGGTGAAATAAAGAAGATGTGATTGGATTTTACATGGAAAAGATGGAAATTATTTTGGGGGGAGAGGGGGCCAGGGAGATTTGTGAAGGTAAAGATCAGTAATTCTATGTGGAGAGAATAGACTGTAGCTGTACTAGTAATAGTTGAAGGTATTGGATAATGGTGGTTCATAAGAAAACGCTCTTTTGGTATATTAATAATGTTACGGACGAATTTTATTGCCGATCTAAATACAAATTAATCGCAGTGAAACGAGCCCAAATTTAGTAATAATTCATGACGCAAAATTGGTGTTTGAGTTATAAACGACCGTTATCCCATCGTCTAGCTCTCATGTTGAAAAATGTTGAATATGAATGTTGAATGTTGAAATGTTGTTCTAATATTGTTGTTATACTTATATTCTACGGAATTGTTCTTATCCACGGAACAAATAAACAAATTTTAATTCCCTTTTAAGTTATTTTCTTTCTATCGTTGATCGTCGAATTTATCGTAATTATTATAACAACGGACAATACTTGTTGCCTACAGTATTTCG